GTGTCAATATCATAGTAGGGACAACGCAAAATCTCATTCGCCGCAACATAAGCCAACCCGGCTTATGCCTTACCTCGCGAGTATACTCGACAAAAAAGAGGTCAATTTTGCGATTCTGTGTGAGAATTACAGTAAAACGTCGCTATGTGCAACAACGCGTACTCCGCTTCGATCACAGACAGCAGCCTAAATAATGAGACGCCAGACCAATGGACCTCGCTGGTGAGTTTGAAAGTCCCTGTGGTACATTAATTTAATTCAAGAGCATCCCGTTCGGAGTACTCATCGCAGTGAGTGAATATCGCTGTCTCTCTCAGCAGTTGGTAAAATCCATCGAACTGACCGAGAACAGTGAGCAACGTCACGTTCATACTTTCCAGATATTGAAATCTGCGCCGGACATGTGGCTGAAATTTGCTTATAATACGTTTGCACAGTTTGCCTTTCTGGTACAGAATGCTGGCGCCGAGTGGGGTATGCATTTCTCGTAGCAAACCCGCTTTGTGCTAAGCACAGATGAAAGCGGCAATGCGATTACAGTGTTCCCCTGGTAAAAACCATTGCTGTGTGATAATGTCAGGTTCGGGAATTTTGTCAATCAAACAACATACTTCCCTATCCATGTGGCGGGTCTCTCGTCATCATGCCGTGATGTTACGTCCACAAAATATCTAAAAGATCTCGGAAGCTTCTTGAAAATTGCCATCATACTCCTAGCATTCATTGTTCGATGGGTGCCACAATGACAATTTCCCTATGACAGACGAGCTCAGATCCTTCTATGGTACCAAGTGTACCGTTTTGGTGACTCACACGTCTTGCAATTCCTTGTACATTATCCCGTCAGATGATGAATTACTTTATAAAATATTCCGTCTAAGGCAGTAAGAGGATACTTTTAGTCACTAGGACAAACCCAGTCACTTTATTAACGGGTAAAAACCTTTCTTGCTGCTTACCCGTGAAGCTTCACTGCTCCGCCCGGTGATCCGTCAGACACTAGTGATGAAGCAGGAGTACGATTACATGGTGAGAAAGGTGATCGCCCTGCTTATCGTTAGGGCTTAGCTCCTCTAATCTCGACTCACAGTCGTCTTGAACCCCACCGGCTCCGGCACATGAGATTGCAGCTACAAGTGCAGGCAGATGACACAATAAGTTACAGCTGTTTCTTACCGTCCCGCAAGACGTAGACTTTAAGCCACGATTTACAGTCAGTCCAAACCCAATTTAGCAGTAATATACCACGTAGCGCGCGATTTTCAATTGGAATTCGATTTTATCCTGAGCGCAGCTCATTGCCGCTTCTGCATAGTGAGCTCTGCTCGAGTAACTATACCTATCAATTTTGTGGGATCGCATGTCTTGCACAGAAGTAATCGCAGTTTCGGTCCCGCCCCAAAAGATTTTCTGATTCTGGCAGATGTGTCACTAATGCTCCACTAAGAAGGAAATGCATGACTTCCATTATTTAACCTTCAGTCGAGCTGTGGCTTATAGCGTCCCGGCCAAGTCAAACCTGCAATAAGATCGTATACCGAGAACTCGACAACGGTCCACGCTGATGAAGTTTCATGCGGAGATTTCATCAACATTTTTATCCGTGTTCCTATCGCGAGACGCGCGGGAATAATATATGTTTGCGACATATTTGAGGCGTTCTATCTACTGGTTATGACACTCTCGCATCCTATACGATTGCGCGGCACTCCGGAATACTCGGGGCTTTCTGTTGACTTGAAATCCAGAATTTTTGATTATAACATCTTACAGCCTTGTGATCTTAGCCCCTACTCTCTTTGAAATTGTCAGTCTTATCAGAGATTGGATTCATCGACCACAACCTCCACGATGCACAATAGATTCCTACTTGGCGTCTCCCCGCAAGTGTATGTCATCCGACCTAGCGTGGAAGCTCGAGCTATCGTAACTCCCAACCAAGTGGGTAAAGAACAGACAAGACGCAGGTTTTGATACACTAGATGAAAGAGCTTCCATTTTCGCGTAAGCATTGGAAATCAGAGACCCCTTTCATTCAAAGCTCTTTTGAGATCCGCTGCCTTTGGCATACAAAAGAATTTTCTACTTATGATACCCATTTCGAGTTTTTGGGCACGAAAAGTGTACTTTACATTCAGTGCAAAACCAACCCTTTCTTAGAGAGGACCAGGGTGGACGCGGAAGGTGGTTGTGAACACTTATATGGCAATATTGCTTTGTTGTTTATTTTGAGATATAGCTTCGAATGCTATGAAGTTTCAGTGCAGGAAAGTTTGACTCTAAGAGTCCGCGCTAATAAATGCACAAGGGCGGATTGGTACTTAAACCGAGGGAAATACCGTAGCTCTGCTATTTACCTAGAAGACCTACCTAGAAGACCAAAGCTAAACTCTTTTTCTATCTCAAGTAGTTAAGCTGCATGTTGTTTTAAGTACCGGTAGAAGCCCATATGTATCCTTTTAGAATTCCATCATCTTCATACTTTGATTTTTTATGCACATTTACAATCAAACCAAAGTGCAATGTGAGTTTCGCACAATTGTATCCAATGTGTAAGGCGTAAGGACAAAGAAAATATTGCGGTACTTACCCTGTTACACCCATGTTTTTCTCATCTTGTTATCTGATGCAGAAAGTACAGAGACTGAGCTAGCACCGCTTTCAGAGCAACCAGCTACATGTCAAAATTGAGCTTCCGATTTGCTTTGCACTCAGCGACGACGATTTTGTTCGCATCGTCTCAGCATAGAGGCAGTGACGTAGGAATTCTCAGAAATGTACACCTGGCACATCAATTAGGTGTATTACCATATTTTATCAAATTTCGTAAGAATTTTGAAGAGGGTATTTATATTGTGAGGTATTTGAATATTTATACTTTGAACCTACAATAATGTATCATCTATTCGAAACAGTAGTACTTCTATCGCTTACAGTTTAGTCGCTTAGGTCGCGTTCAATTGGACATTCAGATCTAAATGGCCACCTTGACGTGATATAGGTACCCACAGGACTAGTGATCCACCACCTGTAGAAGGGATCCCAAAAATGCCCGGATGCCACCGATCCAGGTACAACGTCTTGCCACCAAGTTCTGTAATGTTTGCCCTCCACTGGGCAGTACTTCCATTTCTTAAAAAAACTTCGTCGATCTTGTCTCCCCCGGACATGATGTTTATCGATACGTTCTTGGTGTCCAGGCTTTTAAAGTTGAGAATGACGGCACCATCACCCTTTTTGGTCCATGAAAGTGAGCTGTTTTTGAATGCTTTGTGAAGCGCGTTCATGCCTAGAGTCTCGTACTCATTGCCGTCGTCAATTTCGCCCATAAATTGCGTAGGACCACAAATTGTTTGAAGATACTCGGATAAGAGAGTCGCTAAATCTGTTGGATCCCACCCGAGCGAAGCAAAGAAGAGAGCATTTCGAATCCCCGTATATGCTGAGTGTTTTGAAGCCATGTTGACACCATTATCACTTGTACCAGACTTGATGAGATCGTTGATCATTACTCCAAACGTTTTGCGAATCGTTTCACGTGTCTTGTACGCAGTTGCTTCTGTTGACTCGGATATCATCTTGGGCATACAATTGTTTGTCACTGTCGGGATATCGTACAAAATGAGGTCTGATTCACTTATTTTCAGACGAAGTTCCGACTCACTGATCGACGGATCGTTGCGTCTGTACTCTTCCACGGTCGCCCATACATGAGTCGTTAACGTCTTGAGATCATCGCCACATGT